TTGGCATTTTCTAGACATCCCAAAGTGCTATTTTCATGATTTATTTTTAGTATTTAAAAGAAAAAGATTTCAGCTTCAATCTGATACCCAAAACATAAAATCCACCAATCCCTTTTTTTCCAAAAAAAGGCAAATGTTTTAGGGTTGCATTTTTCGGGGACACCCTATAAACATATCTCAGTCTGCTAACATACCAAGTTTCAACACAATCCGATATGTAGGTCTGTAGATATGGGCCTTCAAAATGTGCATATTACTATGACGTCACATGTCATATGATAGGATTGGATAATAAACCGTTAGGTTAGATTACATAATACACATACTTTACATATAATTATAATGGTTTAAAATACACACACTTAAATTAACAGATGCAAAATACCACAACAATGATCACAAGCTAAAACATAAGAAAACAAGCAGATCTACAAAGGAGATTGTATTGAAAGAAGGGTAATTTTTTCAGGGGATAAAAAGCTAATCTAAAATTGACTGCAATTATCTTTAAAACATTCATTTGACGAAGCTACTGATTGAAAAGGCACCATGGTATAAGATAATTTTTAAAATCTATCTGTGTGGGTCCTGGGAGGGGCAGTTTATTGGTAGATCTTAAATTATTTGACACTTCATGGGGATAGGGAAGAAGGCTGTGTAATTTATGAGACGGATCCTGGAGTTTCTGAAAATAAGCCATGCACAATGCATTACGTCTTTCTGCAGTGATTGGATGCCAAGAGAAAGTAATGTAACGTTATAACTCTGCCCTGAGTATATACACCGTATGGCTCTTTTCTGAATCATTTCTATCTTTCTAGACAAGTACTTAGGCAAGCTGCTGTGCCATACTTGGCAGGCATATTCTAGGACTGGTCTTATCAATGACAAGTACATTTTTAGTTGGTCAGCTTGATACACACCTGCACGTTTCAGCTGATACAGCATATACAGTCTTTTACTGCCTTACGAACTATGTGGTCAACATGAGCATTCCAGTTGGGTCTGAGGTCAGTATTATCCCCAAAACTTCGACCTGTGTGACTCTATCAATGGTGTTACCGTCAACTGATCTGTGATGACGTCATCATGACATCTCTTCAATGTTCATCTATAACACATCCCAGTCTTGGCACATACCGACTTTCAACCCAATCGGGCCTGTAGTTCTGGGGATAAAGCCTTCAAAATGCACCTTTTATGTGACGTCATGATGACGTCAATGTTCGGCACACATCTTCAGGTGCTTGTCTGAGTGTGTGCCAATTATAAAGGCAATCGGATTGATTTTAGTGCCGAAAGTGCCTTCCGCGATAAAAACGTGTACAAATGCTATGGAAAAATGCTGAAAAAAGAAAACAAAATCTTGACGAAAACAAAGCTGTTTCGGCAAATGCCGAAACGGCCAAAAAGTTAACAATTAGTTACACATTAATTGAATTAATGTAAATAATGCCACCCTTTAAAAACCTTTCTTTTTGACAACTAAGAAGATTAGGGACGTACGTTTCTGCGTGCGAACCCATATAGTGTGAACAACACAAATAGATCATATATTTCATTTTTAACTAAAAGCACAACCTAAGGTAACACGTTTAAATATTATATCAAAATGCAAGTGGCATATAGGCTAATAAACGCCCCCTATTGTTAGGTACGCCTAATTACTGTGATAGCTAGAGCGATAGCAGCAACCGGAGCGCCACCAATCGTTAGGTATGCCACCACAATACATGGGCACAAACAAAGAAAAGTCAAACTCGTCCCCAGTGCCTTTTCAACCTCGTTGCAAATAGTAGCCCCTGCGTGGGAAACTCACTTTCTGTATCGTGATTCGAAATAGCAAGTCATGGTGTTTTATATATACTTGTAGTAATTCCAACCTGTATAACGGCGGGCCTATTTTAACGTACAATGTTAATTATTACGTCGGCCATCCCACCTAAAAACAACCCCTTCCACTTTGCTTTTGATAATATGTAATGTGACACATGTTCCTGCATATTGACGGTATAATATTTATATAATAGTGGATGGCTTTGAGGTGGATGCAAGAATATATTGCACGAGCTATGACAACGACTCGTGCAATATGTCTTAGCGAGTGCAATATATTCTTGTATCCACCGAAAACAAGCCATCCAATATTATTATTATTATTTATATCAGGCTGACTTGATCCGCAATAAGCAAAATTCAAGACACTGTCTTCATCACATCTTTTTCGTTTACATCAAACGTTTTGAAGCTGCCACTGCGTAGCGCGTATTATTCCAAAGAGAGCGCGCCGCAGACTTGGGTTCAAACATTTCGTGAAGGGGTAGATTGTAAGAGAGAAATACATTTTCCACCAATTTGTATTGAAATTGAAGTTTATTTCAACTGTGTTCAGATTTAAATAATTTAAAATATTAAAATCAAGCAGAATCTGTTAGTGTAGTGTTATAAAACAAATATTGAATGCTTTATCTCGTGGTGAAGTAAAACTAGCCTCCCTCGGTGATCCATGGAACATTCTATTTTCCCTCGGCTTCGCCTCGGGAAAATAGAATGGTCCATGGATCACCTCGGGAGGCTAGTTTTACTACACCATCGAAGCATTCAATATTTGTATAATATTTCAATCCTGTTTTTGGATCTCACGCACAGACGAATTAATACTGTTCTGGCCTCGCGGAGTGTGGGACGCCCTCTATCCAGTTAGTTAACAAGCACACACGGAGTAGGTTCAACTTTAAAGATTTATTCCTTAACATATGCATACGGTAAACTGATAAAAACAATCAAATAAGGATAATTACAGTGGAAAATGACGCAAAGGACAAAATAATACCATGACATAGATAACATGTAAACAATTGAAAATACCAGACCAGAATGGTAAAATCTACACGGAAATCGAAAAGCCAAAGTGCGATAACCTTACGAGCGACGTGGTTGTCCTTTTTGGAATTGAAAGGTTCAGCAGATCTACATGCAGAACAAAACACTTTCCTAATCGCTTGATTTACTTGAAACAACTATAAACTTAATCAACTAAGACCGAATGACGAACTAAAAACATAAACAGGGACAAGGATAACTTTTTTTGGCAGAGCAATGAATAAAAGCAAAAAAAATCAAAGATTTAAAAGGAACTTGCAAACACTATAGGTGTTCTTGTCAGGGAATGTTTCATTGTATAAAAAAAGTAAATTGAAGCGGTAGGCACATTTTTGTGCAAAAACAATAACGATTAAAGCAAATACATCGAATGGAAATCAAACACTGGTTTAAGGCACAGTCAGGCACCAGACATTCCGTACCTATGTGCATGCGTGTGAAAGATTTTTAACATACAGATGATCCTATAGCAGGGTGAGAGAGCAGATGGTGGTGGGGCGTACTGCCGACATCATTGGAACGAGTTGATAAAATATTGTCTGTGCCACTTCAATGTATTATTCTACATAGACTATTACGCGAGGTATGCCATTAAAACAGCACCACCAAATGTTAGGTACAACCCCTAGGTGTCATAATGTAACGTCAATATTACACACGAAGTTAAGGTAAATTAGAAAACTTGAACTTTTCTGTCTGTAGGTGTTTGTTTTTACTTTCGCCCTTTCCTCGCCCCATTAAATTTTTTTCACAGCGAGGGAAGTTTCGTAGACATTCCAAAGAAAAGGATGTTTCCAAATGTCATTTCTCCACTTTGAAATTGATGGTGGATCATTTGTCGTTTGTGTCTGCATGAAGGGCATGTTACATTAAATAATGCTAAAATATAGGGGGGGGGGTTAAGACAAAGAAAAACATAAGACCCAACCAAAAACGCATTATTTTCGGTTGGAGTAAATGTGGAAACATGAATTAGATTCGTCAAAGAAAAGTGAAACAGTGATGTTCCTAGGATAAACAAAAGAATCAATTCAAGAAAAAATTAAAACAATTTTTGCAATGTTCAACCTATTTTCGTTAGGAATGCGGACATTTATTCCAATACGTGTATGCTAAAACGTGATTTTATTGCAGATAGTTTTTAATAGTTATATCCAATTTCTACCTGCTTAACAGGAAATCAATCTCACAACATATACATCAGTGATCTCGTAAAACTAAATTTGCACTGTTAAATTGTGTATATGAATTTAAATAGTTAAACTTTTTCTCACATCTTGGTTTTCAAGACCTTTAAGTTGTTCCATGATCAAAATTGGATCAACTCAACACAATAAAATTAAGACTGCTCTATATCTAGGACATAGTGTAGACTCTTTGCAATTCAACTTAAAATCTGATGGGTTCAGTTATCATCAATAACAGCAACCTATTAATTACATGACATTTAGAACAAATGTCAACAGGATTTTTAAAAATAGAGGAATGACCCTTCATTCTTTACATTGATTACCTGGTTATTCGTGTCATTCTGTGGTAAGCAGTTTCAGAATGGTACACGTGTGTCATAGGTAGGCTAACATTAATGTCATCACAGTCGATTTATACGTTATACAAAGACGTATACTACAGCAAGTTTCCTATATTTTTCATGTATATAATATTCTTACCATTGTGACAAGGAAAATTTGCACATTGCTATTCATGCACAAAAACAATGCCAATATGTTGCCAGAGCGGGATGGGGTAGAGTTATGGGTGGCATAATAATAACGTGAACTCTTTTTTTCTTTCTCAAATGCATCACTATGTATTTTAACCTATTAAATTGAACAAATCTTTACTCATTTAATTCTCTTATTGATTTTTAAAGACCAAACAGCAGTTTACTCTAAGACACTGTAGTTTAGACACTTGTTTAAAATAGATATATAAAATATTATATATTTTTTTGATTGAGTTCTCAAACACAGTTATAGACGTTTATTAATAAGATTTTTTTAAACGTATTGCAGATGATTAGTGCATGCAGTAGTCGCGCAGGGAGATTGGAGCTTTGCATATTGCAGGGCTATGGTTACCACAGGGCTCATCATTCCATTCCCAGTTAACCATACCTCAGCGCAGTGCTCACTGCCTCCAGAGTTATCGGGCTGGCGATTTCGCCAATTCCTGTACTCCACATTATCAGCACCATCCTGACACTTCCAAGTACCTATCAAAAAACAATATATACAAGGGAAATAAATATACAGTGTGTCAACAAAAAATGCAAACAAAATTTAACTGAATGCCAGACATAGAATGTGCAACCAACATAGATAATATAGGTATGGTTTAAAAGATACGCCTTTCCACTTTAAAATGAGACATCAAACGTCCAAATCTGATAATTTTGACATACTTATGAGTAATTTTCCGGGAGAGTTCAAATTGACCATGGGACCAAGTTTTCAATTTTAAGCATTGGGACAAAGGCAGCCTAATGCCTCGGTGTGGATATTTGCCTGGAAAATATTAGAACCAAGCCAACTCCCATAGGATTTGTATTGTTATACGCATAGTATTGTAATTCTATGTATTGTAAGTATAACTGTCGTTATCCATCAATCAGTTTTAGTTTATGTAGCATCAGGCTGTTGTGTTGAGCAACGAGGGCATTATCCATCTATTTAGACACTTTGAGAATGGATTATGTTCACCAAAATTTATCCTGAAAAGATTGTGCTAGACCCATGCAACATCATACTAAAAAATTCAATTCTGTGGTGGATTACAACTCAATTAAAACGATGGCGACTCGCAGGGTTAAATATAGAGATCGAACCAACAAACACTGATTCTTCAACGCAAACAAATCAGTCAATATTCTTATACAAACGAAACAATGATAGTAATAACGAGGCGAATATCAATCAACAATGATACTTAATAAGAAACAACTCTGTTCTCGTATTTCCTCAAATTATGTCTTGAAGCTCTGGTTCGATCATAAACATTCTTAAATGAATAGACATGAAAATTCAACAAACCTTCTTCTTCGAGATCATTGCAATTGATCCAAAACTCAGGTTGCACTAGACGCATGAGGAAATCAAGTTCCTCCTGAGACTGTGGCACTGCCATGATACTCCCCATCTTGATGCACCTCTGTTTCGCCTTAAACCATGTCAGAGGCTCCATGATGGCTTTATAGCATTTGCCATCCCACTGGATCAAGTTAAGAGGACACACCCCTCTACGAACAATGGATTTCTTCATACACATCTCGTTACTATCGGTGCGACCCCTTATCAGATGAAGGTTTATCAAGCCAAAGATAAACCGTGTAGGCACCATCGTTATTAAGATCTTACCGACTCGTATTTAGTGGTGATATGATCAGGATTCATTGGACTGCATGTGAAGTCGTCATCTCGTAAGGCAGAATGAAGACTCTGATACTATTGAGAATATATCGAGGCTGCTACAAAACCCGTAGGAAGTCCATTTTGTGTGGTGACCGTGAATCTCTGAATTATCATAATGATACCTGGTTCACAAGATGTATTGTCTGTATTGTCTTTTAGCAGGTACTTCTAGCCGAGTCAGTGTCATGAAGACGAATAGACAGATCTATCGGATACAAATTCAAGGCAACCATCGATTGGCAGTTCGCTACGATAGACAACTCTGTTGGAACCATGCGAGATCACTGAAGCAAATGAGGTATTTAATTCACTTCTATTCAAATCTACATTTTGCGACGTCAGGCAATTTGTGCAGTTCCAGGCCCTGAGATGTAATGGTTACGCCATGCATTCTTATTATACCGCGTTAAAAGACAGCGTTCTTGCACTTCATATTTCATGGACTACGTTTTGTCACTCAAGTTAAAAA